CGACCTGGAGTTGGCAAATACTTTTTCCCAGTTTGTAGGCTGTCTCCCTGCTCTCTTGATGGTTTCTTTGGCTTTGCAGAAGCTTGTCAATTTAATGAGGTCCCACTTATCTATCTTACCTCTTATGGCCTGTGGGTTTCAGGTTTTGTTCAGGAATTGGATGCCAGTTCCAATTTCCATGAGGGTATGTCCTTCATTTTCTAAGGTTCTTATGGTTTGAGGTTTTATATTTAGGTCTCTGATCCATTTAGAGTTAATTTTTGTGTACGGGGATAGATAGGGATCCTGTTTCAATCTTCTGCATGTGGTCAGCCAGTTTTCCCAGCACCATTTACTGAATAGGTTCTCCTCTCCCCAGTGATAGGTGGTGGAGGCTTTGTCGAAGATGAATTGGTGAGAAATTGAGGCTTTGTTTCTGGATCTCAATTCTATTCCATTGGTCTATATGCCTGTTCCTGTACCAATACCAAGCTGTTTTGTAACTTTATAGTAAAGTTTGAAGTCTGATAATGTGATACCACCTGCTTTGTTTTTTTTTTTTTTTTTTTTTTTTGCTGAGGATTGTTCTGGCTATTCTTGGTTGTTTGTGTTTCTATATGAATTCCTGTGTTGTTTTTTCTAGGTCTGAAAAAAATGTTGCTGGTAATTTGATGGGTATTGCATTAAATCTATAGATTGCCTTAGGTAAGATGGACATCTTCACAATGTTGATTCTTCCAATCCATGAGCATGGGATATTTTTCCACTTGTTTGTGTCATCCTGTAGTCTTTATCTCAGCTCAAGTATCGTCTCTTCTGAGAGGGCTACTGTGAGCAACATATCTAAAATTGTCACCTCCCCTGCCTCACTCTTCATCAGTACATAATAGTTTTTAAACTTGCTTTTTCACTTACCAACATATTATGAACAATCTTCCAGATCAATAATATCTCTCTCTCTCTCTCTCTCTCTCTCTCTCTCTCTCTCTCTATATATATATATATATATATATATATATATATATATATATACTTTTTTCTTTTTTGAGCTGGAGTCTCACTCTGTTGCTCAGGTTTGAGTGCTGTGGCATGATCACAGCTCACTGCAGCCTCAACCTCCTGGACTCAGACAATCCTTCCTCTTCAGCTTTCTGAGTAACTGGTACTATAGGTGTGTGTCATCATGCCTGACTAATTCCTAAAGTTTTTGTAAGAGATGAGATCTTGCTATGTTGCCAAGGCTGGTCTTAAACTCCTAGGCTCAAACAATTCTCCTGCCTTGGCATTCCAAAATGCTGGAATTACAGGCATGAGCCACTGTGTCCACCATAATTTTTTAATGACCATAAACTCATGATCTCCAGTTTCAAATGGGTCCTTAAAACTGCCCACAATGCATCTGCTTCCTTACAATCTTTAGATTTTCTGCCTCTGGTGTCTGGTCTTCTTTGTAAAGTGGTCCACTCTGAGAAAATCTGTACTCCTAACATCAAGTTGCGCTATTTTCTTTTCCCTTATCTGGTCAAAATCTTTCAAAACCATTATAATGGAAGACAGATCTTAAGTCTTTAATAGATTCAATCTTTTTTGAAATAGAGAATAAATGACTTAAATGTGTGAAGAGATTGGTTCAGAAATTAGCAGCAGTGAGGCCAAGATATCAATATATACTACCTGTTTGCATGTTGAGTGTTTTTTGTCAATCAAGAGTCACTGAAACACTTATATTCTTTTTGTCTTTTGTTATAGAGTGTCCCCACCTCCAGAATTGATACATGTTAGGATAACTTGCAAAAATTCTCTTATTCCTTCCCATTATTTTCTTTTAAACCTACATCCTAATTAAGGGATACTCCCCAAAAGCCAGAATTATCTTTGGAGGGTGGACCCCTTGTAGTATAGGCTTCTCCCACTAGGTTATTGTTCTAGGAATCGATCGGCATCAGTGTACCAGCTAGTGATGTTGTAAGAGATTCTTTCATTGCATTTTTTCATTTCATAATGGGTGATTTATAAGAGCCCCTGCCCACACCGCGCTGAGTGTTCAGCAGTTTTTGACCCAAGACAGCATGACTTCCATGCCCCACCCTCCTTATTCACCTGATCTTGCCCCCAGTGACTTCATATTGTTTCCCAAGATGAAAAAAATCCTCCAAGAGAAATGTTTTGTCAATGTGAAAGAGATGAAACAAAAAATGGCAGCGGCACTAAAAGGCATCAAAATTGACAAGTTCACAAACTATTTTGAGCAGTGGAAAAAACATCTTGATATTTTTGTTTGTGTATTGTATCAAATGGAGTGAAGGTGACTGAAGTTTAAACATGTAAGAATAAATTTTTTTTTTTTTGAGTTGGGAGTCTCACTCCATTGCCCAGACTGGAGTGTAGTGGCCGCTCCCGGCCACCGCAGCCTCCACCCGCTGGGCTTCGGCGATCCTTCCACCTCAGCCTTCCGAGTAGCCGGAATTACAGGCGCCTGCTACCACGCCCAGCTAATTTTTTGATTTATTGTAGAGATGAGGGCTCACCAAGTTGTCCGGGCGGGTCTCGAACCCGAGGGCTCAGGCAATCCACTTACCTCAGCCTCCCAAGGCGCGGGATTACAGGCTGAGCCATGGAGCCTGGCTAGAATAAATATTAATATACAATTTTTTAGAAATAAATTCTGGGCTTTTTGCGTCCCTTCGCATAAAACATAAATTCTGATCCATTATTTTTTGTTGATTTGGGGATGAATGCTTGGTAGTATGCAATGTTAACTCTATCAGCACTCAGATTGTTCTCAATAGGAATCCTCATAGATATGTCATCAAGTATAAGAAACAGTAAGACTTTGTTTTTAGAAGTTTCCAAGCGAAACTGCCACTGATACATGTATTTGGACACACCAGCAGGAGGGACTCTGTGGGCTTCCTCTCAGTCAAGTAGGGCTGCCATGGTGCCCATTCTATTGAGAACTCCTCTCATTTCTTCCCAATGGTAAGTTCTATAGTCTCCAGCTTGGCATGTGAAAGAAACTAAATAATACTAGCTCGCAAATCACACCTGAATTTTATTCTCACTTATTCCTGCTCCTGAAAGCTACTATAAAACAGAGGATTATTATCTGATGATCTCTGACAGTGAACAGTGATGATATATGAGATACAAGAACAAATAATCTGGTGTTTTTGTTTATTATTTTTGTTTTTTAGAGACAACAGCTCACTCTGTTGCCCCAGCTGGAGTGCAGTGGTACAATCATAGTTCACTG